GAGAGTACTATGCAGTGGCAACAGGAGAGAAATTCCATGAACTTGTCATACTTCTTGCTCTGTAACTCTGCAGTCTGTAAGTTACACGGAGTACCATTAACGCAGAAGTTTGCAGCAGCATGAACAGAACCCCTCATACACCACCACCCCTGTGCACTGCTCTCCCCCACCACCCACCTTCATCCACTGATTCATTTACATCACACAAGCGCAACACACTAGCAGGTTAAATTTGCTAATAAATAAGGATGTGAGCATGTTATACCTACTTAGTATTCAGTTTGCTCTTTTATAAATGATCTGGTAGAGAATCAGGCCCTCCTCTCCCCCTCTAGCTGACTCTCATCTGATTCTAATTCAATTTCTCTGCCTATTGTTTATTTCACCGCTCCCCTGTGAAGTGTCAAATGCTGATGTTCCGTCAGCCCAGAACTGTCGTTTATATTTGTCATTCAGTCCTTGTTAAAAAATAAAACAGGACTGCGCCTGCCTTGGCGCGCTCTGCCTGGGAATTCCCTGTGGTAAAATTAGTCCATTTAGATGGAAAGTTTTGTGTCACTCCCCTGTCTAAATTGGCAGATCTGGCTCTTTTGCAAAAACCAATAAACTGTGAACCTTGATGCATCTGTCAATCAAACTCATATTTCATGAGCAAAGCCAGATGACAACAAAAGCTGGGCAGGCTCCTCCGATTGGCTCTTCTCATTTAGGCATATCAGGAGGCACCTGTCACTCCTCCGGCTCCGCACCGCGCTCGGGGGGACTCCGTTCACGGGGCGCTGAGCCCTTCCTGGGGGCTGGGCTGGGCCAGGAGGAGCAGGAAGGGGGAGTTCAGCTCCTTGGCTGCAATAGATCTGCAGCTTGGCTCTTTCCTCATGACTCTGGTGAGAGGCGAGGAACTGGCATCACCTTTTCTTTTGGCCGTTTTTTCCCCACATATTGAGTAAAAACTTTGTATTCTTACATTCTGCGGGTTTTATAGTGGCTAAAAGGATAAAGTGAGAGTGTGAAAAATGACGTGCCGTCTCTCTGAGGACTGAACCACAATGCCACGGAGGAGGAGGGGGCATATCCTGAAGCCATCCCAAAGCTGCTGCATGTACCGCAGCCTGCACCCGCCGCAGCGATGTGCAGGGACTGCACCGCTCTGCTCAGCAAGGAGGGATCTATAGCTGGGCACATCGACTGAGTCAAGGGAAGTGTTTGTTATATAAGCATGAGAGAGATACAAAAATGGCAGCAAACAGCACCAGCTCACCCAAAGCCCTGGGAGAAGCGGACGAGCTCAGGAGCTGATGGTACTGTAGGAATGGCCCCCTGAGAGTTCAGGCTTGGAAGAAAGCTCCCCATGCCCAGTTTTCTCCGGAAAATTCTGAACTCTGCTGTCTGTACCAAAGAATGGTGCAAAAATTTTACCTACTGTTTAATTTGCACTCAAAACAGAATTTAACCTAATTTTTCAAAGTACAGTCATTTGCATATTTGCATTAGGTTGCCACTGAACCGTTCCAGAAACCTGCACTTCCACAGAGCTGCTGCCTGATGACGGATTTATGTCATCTCCTAAGCACCCCATCACAAACTCCATCTCATGCACCTGTATTTTCTCTACCTACTTTGTTTTGCTCAGAGCAGCTCTGCCATCATATGTCACTTCAATGCTTGCAGATATCAGTGTAATTCTCTAGTGCAGAAAGCAGACAGTTCCTTTTAAACCAGACTGGTACATTACCAATTCTCACAATTCTCCAAGTGGTGAAAATTTTGTGCTTTTGCTCCAGCTAAATATATATGATACAAGATGAAAATCTCAGCCTTCTTAAACAGTTGTGAGTTCATTGGTTTCACCAACCAGTTTCAAGTACAGGCTCAAACAGACAAGACAAAAAACCAAAGAACTCTTAATGACATCTAGGCTCATTGCATTATTCTTACAGGTGGGGAATAGCATTTATTGCTTACTGAGCATTTGAGACTTGCCAAACTGGGTATCCAAAGTACTGGTTTCCATGCAATAAAACATTGACCAGATTACACTAGTTGGTATACATATACACCTTTGCTGGGCTAAGCACATGAGGTCAGAATATGATCTGTACATTGCTGCTTCGCACTGTGAAAAAACTGCTGAAATACTGCTGCTAGCAGGCAGCTTCAGGGGTGCTGAATGTACACACGGAGTGGTACAGCCACAGGCTGCAGTTATGGAAGGAAACTCTACAGGCCTTAGGCACTGTCATTATGAACCATACTACAAGATCATCTAGAAATACTGAGAAAAAGAGTCCATGTGTTGCGTACTGTGCAAACTAAGACATCATTCCTGTCCTGACCAACCTACTTATAATTAGACAAAATAGCGAAGGGAAGTGACTCATTCAGTGCTGCTCATCTGATCATTGACAGAATGAGAACGACCCATCAGTCTCCTCACAGATCCTCCGCTATGCAGACGTGAAGAAAAGCAAAGAGGGACGTTCACTACCAGCCCAGCAGAAGGGTGCCAGGATGTGATCATGTTCTTAGAAGGGACTAGAGGTGGTTTCTCATACCCAACTTACTGACATGCCTCTGGCACATCCTGGAGGAAATAAATGAAAGATAACGAATCTTCAAAACAGGCTTTCTGCTTGCTGCATCCCTTTATAGCAGCGGAATGCTTGCATAAAATGTAAAGAAAGTCTGGGCAAATCCACTGGAAATGCTGCGACAAAACCTAAGAGAAACTTCAGGCTATCACATAGTGGAAAGCAAGCTCTGACAGACAGCTCACAGAACCACACTGACAGCCCAAAGAAAGGTCATAAAGCTGTTAATACAGGGAGAGACTTGGCCAAGATTCCCAGAAGGAGTTCTCTAAAAAGTAATCTGTATTCAGGGATCTGAACAGAGAGCACAACTTCCCCAAATCACTGACAGCCTAGTGCTTTCCCAGTTCATGAGCTATTTGTTCTTTTTGCAGATGCACTCAGGATTGGAGTGCAATTTCTTTCCATGATTTATTCCCAGGTCAATATTCTGCTTTGAGGACTTACTGGCCAGAAATCATTCAGAAACTGGCCCGTCTTCTGAACTGTATTTTGTCCCTTAGTTTCACCTTTGTCAGAATATTTCAGAAGCTTTGTTTCCACATTTGTGACTAGTTCTTAAAGGCTCCAAGTCTGAGCCTGGTATGTACATATGCATAGGTCACTATTTTCACCTTTACGTTTTACTATAAATCAGGAAGGACTTCAGTTATACCCCTTTCTCAACTATTTCATTGCATTCCCTTATCTGTGTGTATCAGGTGATCACTTGTGTTAGATTTAGGTTATTACTGCCTGTAGCAGGAATTCTTTTCCTGTTTTGTTTTTGTAGAGCTGGTGAGGTAGCAGGTTGCTGGCCCCCAACCAGGGGCTGGGCCCCTAATTGCTACAACAAAATACACCATAAACAGAAAACATTTTCTTGGAAAAGGCCAGAAAGTACCATTCCATGGGAAACATCCTGGTGATGTCAAACGTCTTTTCCTTGGAGGTAATAACTCCTCTGTTATTACTGACTTCCCAGAAAATCCTGCTCCAGGTCAAGATTCCACTAAGTAAATCCCCATAAAAAAGAGGGGAAGCAGAGTGGAAGCAAAACCAAAAGGAAGTTAAAACAGCCTTTGATTATGGAAACCAGGCGGTCTCTTCATCAGTATCTCCAACATTGCTCTGTATCTATCGTTATCTTTGGGTACGGATTGTCTGTTGTGATTCATTACTGTTTGTTTATTCATGTATTTTTCCTCTTCATATGTATTTTGTTTGTCTGATACAGCGAAAGCAAAAAATCAATGGTATTTTGATATGCTCTAAGACCTATTTGCCTTCACAATCTGAAACAGAACAAATGTCAACTATTCTTTCAGAAGAGAAGGAGACATCAGAATATTTGGGAATTGTGGTGAACAGCTCACCTCAATTATAGCCCAGACTGAAGAGGTCAAAGAGAGAAGAACGTGGGTTTGAGTAAGAGAGTCTGAAAACAAAAGCATCACGTATCACATTTTTGCATCATGACCCATACCTCCTCTGTGGAAGATATTCCATTCCTAGAACAAAGATGGTTCCTTCAGGCTCTCAAAGTAGTAAATTACTACTCACAGCAGCCTCTGCTATTGAATTCCAGCATTCCTCCAGTGTTTGATAATGCATGATACTGACAGCACCCAACTGGATGCAGTCATCTATGGCACTTAGCTCTAGCAAAGACATTTTAACTTTCTGTCCAAGAGTACCACATTTTCTCAATACTACAGCCACGTGGATATTTATCTACTCAAGTCCCTCAGACTCCCTGGAAAGCTCTGGTTTAGCTCAGTTAATGCCACAATAACGGTATGACAAGTAACTTCTGTCATGTTAAAAGAGAAAAAACAACTGCAAATTCTTCCCTCTGCAAAGAGAGAATTGGCCAACTCTGTTTATGAATAAGTATCCAGTTGGCTAGGAGGTTAGTCCTCAGAATTTCCTTTAACCAGCAATACACAGAACCAAGTAAAGACAAGTTGCTATGTAGATTAGCACCATCTCCCCAACATGCTGAGGATTCCTGCTTCTCTTCCAAGATTGGGGACTGGTGTTATGTTAGAACACGTGTAAGGATCTTTAGGAGCAACAGACTTCCCACAGCTTCAACTGGAATCAGGAGCGCAGCAAAGGTTCTCAGGAATCTCTCAGGAATCAAACCATAAATCTTCCTTACAATTCTCATGTAACTATAAAAAACTCTTTTTCATGAACACTCTTTTTCTACAAACCTCCATTCCAGATTAATCAATTCAAAACAGGGTGAAGTATTTTTATCATTCCACTATTTTCCATCTCAAGCATACAACAATCTTTATCACGTTCTTTTGGGCTCCAGGCAGTAATCTTAGCTGAATGATTCATTTGGAGATTCTTCCAAATTCAAAGCCCTTTCACGTCTTCATGAATGTTCTGTTCTGTTTTACAATTATGCCATTTTCTTACCTTTATCTGTGCTCCACGCAGTCTTATGCTGTGCTGCTCAGGGCATTCTTTGACTTCTGCATCCCCTGGTGTCAGGAAGAGTCTTAATTGGAATTCATCACAATGGTTCCTGAACATTCCCCTACAGCCACGCCAGAGGCTTCCTTAACAGAACCATAACCTGTAGGTCACAAGAACACAAGAAAAAGAAGACACTTGATTAGATTACAAAGCAGCAAATTCAAAGCTGATTAAAATTTTTCTCCAATAGCTTTTATTTTGACCAGCTGAATTTATAACCACAGGAAGTCACCAAGATTCCAGAAAAAAAGCCCAAACATTATAGCTTAGCATTCAACAAGCATTCGGGAAAGATATTAGCATTTCTGGGATTAAGCCAACTGCAAGCTGCTTGAGCTCCCAATAAACTGCAGATTCCTCCTACATCTGCCCATTGTGTAGTTCTTTTGCCTTCCTTTTAAGAATCTGTTGAGACTACTGCATAGACTTTACAAACCACGAGCCCGGCCCACTCTTACAAACCCCATGTTCTTAAATCCACCGATTTAGCATTCAAAGTGAGGAATCAGCCTGTGTGTCTGGCCTATATTCTGATAAATGCTGAAGAATCTTGTATGTTGATTAATTTTTAAGTTGTCTATCTTGCCATCAAGTCTATCTTGCTGCTGTATCCTATAAAAACTTCTCTGTTTCTGTCCCAGAGGCTCAGCAACACAAGTGAAACATGCTCATTTGCTCTATTAATGTGTCCTGTGTCATGTTCACCTGACTGGCTCAGGACAGCCTGATCATAATCACTTTTCTCATAGCTTGATTTGCCTTCTGCATCCACTACTGTCAATCAGAAGTCTGAAGCCAGAAGAGCTACACTCGTGTAAACTGTGTGTAAGTGAAGCTGGAATCAGGCATTGACTTTTAAGATAGCTGTTTTCAAGTTCATTGCCACAGCTACCCCAGAGGAGACTCCTAGCACACTGTGATCATCTTGTCTGGCCTCTGATATGAGATACCCATAGGGCTGCTCTGAATTAATTCCTGCTGCAGGTTCTGTAGCTGGGGTTGAGCTGGGGAATCTGTTTCAGAGGAACATTCACTACTATATATAAAGGTTCTAGTGCTGGAAAATCTACTGAACCCGAGCTAAAATATTTTGACAGGTGATTACCTGCCCTGCTGAAAACACAACACGCTATTGCTGGTTGAATATACCTACTATCAAGCACAGCTGCTTTGGATCTGTGTACCAGGCTGCAGAGCCTTCACTACCAACCCTTATATTCTTCACCCTGGCATTTATAAGCTATAGTGTTGCTTATCTTGTTTCTATTGAGAAAAAATGCACTTTACAATTAATGTATATCTAGACTTCATGTCTTAGTCTTTATAAAAAGACCTTTAACTCCCATGCAAGCTCCTTCTCATCAGCAATCAAGAATGCTTCTGCTCTGTGGGATTTAACTAACTGGAATCTCGTTTCATAGACATCCCCAATTCAGACTAGTCTTTCCCAGGCACTGCACACATCTCCCAGGATCTCTGATTGAAGTTTATCTGTTTCCTTGACCTCCAGGCAGAAAATTCACTACTTGGGTATTGTTGCCACCATTGACAATCTGTGTTAGTTTCTGTGTACATTTTTGTTTCTTCCCTTACCAAACTACAGCAAAATGCTGGTCCACACTTTAAACAGCTTATACTTTAGGATCTCTTAACAAAAATAGCTACATTCATGCACTTCCTCCATAGAAAGCTATCTGAAGTCATGACTGTTGTTCTGGATCCTCTCAGCTCCAATGGAACTATTTCTAGATTGGATTTCTGCACTACAGATGAGTCATGGCTTTATTGACCTGTTTAACTGCAATGGAACCCTGTTGCAAAAGCCTTCAGAAGGAGTTGCCTGCACCATTTCCTTGGAGTAGCCATACCATGAGAAGGATAATGAAAGTATTTTAAAATAAGTCTTCTCTTTACCCATGACATCTTTACATGGTTATCTTTTCCTATATGTTTCCTTCTAGTGCTGTAACTGTAACTGGCTTTCTGACTTGCAGGGGTCCTACAGTGTCTCTCAAATTCTCCTCTGAAGTTTGCCTGTGCCACCTTCCTGCTTCCTACCTCTCTCACTCTGCCTGCTCCCACTCAGCACTAGATCTAGTCAGCATCTAGAACATGTTAAGAACTAAATCCATATGCCAGAGTCACGATATTTTAATGACAATGCAGTTACATTGTAATTTTAATTATATCAGGCAGTCTTTCATGGTTCCCATCTTGGAAGATGTGAAATGATATAATTTGAAGCTCTCAAAGCCACACATGGGATCAGGCACCCCCTTCTGATCCACAGTGAGGGAAACCGAGGACCCAAATTGCTGATGTCTTTCTATAGGATATGACTCCTTGGCTATCCCCGACCAGCAGACACCAATGCACACTGTAAGATGCTGAATGCCATTCAGCGTCTGCTGAAACAGTGTTCGGGCATCTATCAGTATGCTGGGGGTTAACTGGATTTGTTCTGAGCTCCCAACCCATTCTGTTATGAGAGTAAAGTAGGGATCCAGGCAATACATATGGAGGCTTGAGGCTGAGCCCCAGAGATAACACAAAACTACTTGCTTTTTCTCAAGTCATTTTTCCCCCAAGCCATGGTGCAAATTGTGGAAAAGCAGCCTCCTGAGTCCTGTCACAAGAGAAGCAGCATTCCCTGCCTCCCCTCCACTTCTTCCCATCCCTCTTGTGAGTGAGCCACTGCACTAAGTTGGACCGCAGGGAGTCAAGGAGGAACAGGGTTTAACCTCTCTCTCATTTTATTTTTTTAAACAATCTCCTCCTCCACCTCCTCTTTCTTCTCCTCCTCTTCTTCCTCATCCTCCCACCCACCCCCACCTTGTCCATCTCCCCTCATCCCACTCGCACACCACTCCCCCCCTTTACCGGTATCCAACACTGTCAACCCAAACACATGATAAATTGCCCTGTCAACAGAATTCATTCAGGGACCAATTAATTCCACAGAAATGAACCAGGAGCCATCAGTTGCTGAAAAACTCCAAGTGCAGGGAGCGAGGAAGCTAGCTTTGTGAGAGAGAGAGAGAGAGAGAGAGAGGCTTGGGAAGTTAGTCTGACAGAAATTGGTCATTTAATGCTTAAGTGCACCGTAGACAGCCCTGTCATAGCAGCCGGCATGGCAAAAACTCCCCCAGTGCTTTATTTATTAATTATGTGGAGCAGCACGGGGGTCACTTCACTGTCTCCATACAGACTCATCAACTTTACTTCTTGTCACCGGAGGAGGTCCCTCAGCATGTGGGACAGCGGGCCGCATCGCGGTTCTGCCTCTGCCACCCCGCTACGACACAGCCTGAAGCAAGTTTGCAGGAGCAACACCTGTGCCCTCACGCGAGTGGGCAGCGGCAGGCGGGGCAGCGAGAGCAGCACAAGTGGGAGCAAACCATCATCCTGCCGCTGCCCGGCTCCAGAGCAGAGGTGGTGGGAGCCTGGAGATTTCATTTGCAAAGCTTCCTCATTATCCTCCTTCACATTCTCCTTAGCCATGATGCCTGCAAAAATCTGACAGCAGTTAGGCTGCTGATGTATTATGAGTACTGCCTATCCTGCTGATCAATAGCGTCTCGCTGCTCCGCGCTCTATTCCCTCAGCTGTCTTTGCTATCCACTACTGCTTGACTCATAGCTGTGAGCTCTCTGAGGGCAGGACCATCTTTCTCCTCCGTGCCACTACAGCACCAGGCAACGCCCAATCCTGATCTCTGAGGAGCGCTCCTGAAGTGCTCCATAGTAACAGAAATAATTATTCTGTCCTTTAATAGTACCAAAGAAAATAAGGCTGGAGAGGACTGTAGGAAATCATCAAGACCATCCAGACGACATCCCTGCCAAGGCAGGATCAACCATAGTTGAACTATTTCCAAATCTTTTTGTCCAGCTTCTTTGTCATGCCCTTTCCACCCCGCTGCATGTTTAGGACTTGAAAACATTCATTTCCCCCTGAGAAAAAAAACACGAGGCCAGCCTCAAGATGCATCTCCACGTTTAAGCAAGAAACAGAATTATGTCCCCACCATTTGGCAGAGATGAACAAGTGAGGCACGTGCTGCTTTTCATATTCTCCTACTGGTTGGAAAGCATTTACATGCTTTCTGGAGTAATTCAGCAAAACATGTATTTCCCAGTATTTCCCAATCTTCCCCATAAAAGCTCAAGAACACAAAGAAATCCTGGCAGTGACGTTGCACTGGCATGGCTGATCCATACAGCACAGTGAAAAGAGACCCCCTCCCTCCACACCTGATTCACAGTCATTAAGGTTGGAAAAGAGCTCTGAGATCATCTAGTCCAACATCAACCCACCCCCACCACGCCACTAACCATGTTCCTCAGACCACATCTGCTCTTTTCCTGAACACCTCCCTGGGCAGCCTGTGCCAGTGCACTGCCACTCTTTCTGAGAAGAAATATCCCAGGACCCAACCTGAACTTCTCCTGGCACTACTTAAGGCCATTACTTCTCATCTTCTTACTAGACCAGCAGCACCCAGCAAAGCCGTGGTGTCTGACCACTTCCAGTACATGTTATCTGCCCCAGTGCCTGAAGATGAGTTGTGCTTCTAGATTTTGGGTTCCCGGACTGGATTTTTCAGCTTTTGGGAATGTTCAGATATGGGGCTTAAGTACACTTCTTCTGCAGGGGTCTCTCTGTATGTCTGTCCCCCCATGCTGATCAATGCACCACGGACACACAGATGGCAACAACAGCCTGAATGGGGGGAAACACTGCAGTTCCATCTTGATGAAAATCCGTTGCCTTCACCTGTCCCAGCCCCAGCATGGTCAGCTGTAAAGCATGAAATCCTCGTGTTGCCCGGTGCCAAGGCAAACCCAGGGTAGGGCAAGTTAGCAGGTCAGACACACCTTTCAATTTTCTAAGAGAGGTTCTGGTTTTTCACAGCACATCAGCTATAGGCTGCCGTGCCAAACTACAAGTGCACCCTGCCACGTTGGAGCTACCAGTCAAAACCTCACCAGACAGCTTCCCTGAGCCTGGAGCAGCATGATGCTGCCACAGCTGCACAACCACTGGCTTCCACTCTTCCTGTGAGCCCTCCAGAACCTGTGCTGGTTTCCTCAGAAGAGA